CCCTCTCCTCTCTCCTTGTGGGAAATCAATGCTTTTGTCCTCTATGAACATCATATCATTATGGGAGAGTTGCAAGTCATTTTTGTATACAGAGAGCCCTTGAATACAATCAGGACCCGTTTTTCCATCTAATCATCACTGCCGTATCACATCCGTAGAGTAATCATCATGAAAATCGTGCAAATACAAACTGCGGGCTTCTGGCGGGCGGGATGCTGTCGGGAAAGGGATGATAGTGAGCGAAGAGACCATGTCGGGATAAACGTGATCACAATTAATCAACAGTCGATCATGGCTAGTTCCACTCAGTGTGAATCTTGGAATCGCCGAGACATCCCGCTCGGAAAGTGTGCTGCCGCCACTAAAGCCAGCACCCCAGCTACTCTTTCGCCATTGCAGACTTCTCGACCTTCATGCTACTGCTCTTAATCTCCCTTCTTCTGCCTTTTTCCCGGGCTAATTCAATGAGACTATTCTTGCCTTACTTTTTCTGCTGCAGGGTTGGTAAGGAAGACCATGTGCAGACGCCTTCCCCTACTTTGTTGACGTTCACTATATTCGAAAACATATATGGTTGATGTAACTTTGAGAAGGCTATGCCTGCAATCAAAAAGAAGCGATCTATTGAGGAGATGAAGTGCTCCGACTCTCGCCCTTGGAAATCAGGAACTGAGCCTATTTTTGATTTTCTGAAAAACCAGGAAAATAAAAGTCGGGTGACGTTCAATATGGTGCGTGACTCGACACCTCGTTGGTGAATTTTCTGTGAGCCTGCTATGTAAATCACTCCAGTCGGGCGCGTTCAAATACTTCTCTTTCGCCATACTGCTGTTGTATATCGTCAAGGACCCCATGGAACTGAACAGTTCAACACTGTTAGTTATTTGCCTGCCAACTTGAGAGCCTGCTTCGTCCTTGTTTCTTCACATTTAGTGGTTCTCTCCAGCTACTTCTCTTGTTACAGTGTCTATGCCACCAACGTAATGGCTGCGAATTTTGCACTAACAGCTGACCCTTTTTCTCCTTTTTGGCCATATTACATCGTTTATACTAAGAAAGCGCCATGCAATCCAACTTTTCGGATCTGTTTTGGTTAGCAGTTAACCCCTCGCTTCCGATGAATCAACCACAATAAAGTTGTGACTTGATGTTTTTGTTGACTACTGTTATTTTGTTGTAGTACGTGATGCGAAACTCTCTAAGGATGTGGGCAAAATTTTGGCCTCAGACGGGACTTGATCCCGTACTTGTGCTTTTCGGACACCATGCTCTTTTTACCTTACAGCATTTTTTCCAGCATTCCCATAGGCTCGAACTTTGGGAAAGTTGAGCCTATGGAAATGCTCACCAGTGCCAACGGAGAACAGATATTTCTAATGCTGATGAGATAAGAAATGCTGACATAGAGCACTTTAGAAAAANNNGCGGATAAAAATGTTAACCCTAGCACCAGGTAGCTCGTTACTGATAGCACGGGATAAATAAAGCTTAAGTATATTATCCAACCCGAATAGAAACCGGATTAAGGGTTTCTCACAGGGAATCAATCATGTCGAATTCTTTCATGCCTATGATCAATCATTTCCCTTTGACATCGGAAACGGTTTCCTCAACTCAGTCTTACTTCGAAAAAAAAGTTCATTGGGTTTAGAAATTTCTTTTCAATCTGGGGATGAATCTGATGCTTAATTCCTTTTAACGTTCATACTACCCTTCTAAGGAGACAGCATAGAAGTTTTATTCTTACAATTAGATTAGTCTTGGAAAAAATCGAGCGTCCGGCTCGGCGTGTAAAACTGGGACCTGACGTTCATTTTATTCACCAACGCCTTTGAAACGATCTCTGATTCGTCGTAGAAATGTTTCGGTTCTGAAGTTTCACGGGAGAAAAATAAAGACCCCTTCAATGCCAAAAAAAGAGACAAAGACTAGAGTGGATTTTCGTAAAAAAAGAGTACTCAAATAGTAACCCATCCTCCCCCCTGGAACCGTGCAAACACGTCCGTAAGTCATG